GCTGTGACCAGTGGGGTCCCTCAAGGCTCTGTCCTTGGGCCTATATTATTCAACATCTTCATTAATGATGTGGACATTGGTGTCAGAAGTGGACTGGCCAAGTTTGCTGACAACACCAAACTTTGGGGTAAAACATCCACACCTGAGGACAGGAGGGCGATCCAGGCTGACCTTGACAGGCTCAGGAAATGGGTGGATGAGAACCTGATGGTGTTTAACACCGAAAAATACAAGGTTCTCCACCTTGGGAAGAAACACCCACATCATGCTTATAGGCTCAGCAGTGCTATGCTGGTTAGCACTACAGATGAAAGGGACTTGGGGGTCATGATTGACCACAAGATGAACATGAGCCTTCAATGTGATGCTGCAGCTAGTAAAGTGAGCGAAATGCTGGCTTGCATCCATAGATGCTTCTCAAGCAAATCCCAGGACGTCATTCTCCCGTTGTACTGACCTTGGTGAGGCCGCAGCTGGGGTACTGCATCCAGTTTTGGGCTCCACAATTCAAAAAGGATGTGGAGAAGCTTGAGAGAGTCCAGAGGAGAGCCACACACATGATCAGAGGTCAGGAAAACAGACCTTATGATGACAGGCTGAGAGCTATGGGACTTCAGCCTGGAAAAGCGCAGGCTTAGGGGTGATCTGGTGGCCGCCTATAAGTTTATCACAGGTGCTCACCAGGATCTGGGGGATTGTCTGTTCACCAGAGTGCTCCAAGGGATGACAAGGTCAAATGGTCACAAACTCTTCCATGACCATTTCAGGCTGGACATAAGGAAGAACTTCTTTACTGTCTGAGCCCCCAAGGTTTGGAATAGATTGCTGCCAGAGGTGGTTCAAGCACCTACTTTGAACGCCTTCAAGAGACATTTGGATGTTTATCTTGCTGGGATCCTATAACCCCTGCTGACTTCCTGCCCCTTGGGCAGGGGGCTGGACTCAAAGATCTTCTGAGGTCCCTTCCAGCCCGAATGTCTATTTTGTGCATGGCTCTGACTGTGGCGTGGGTCTGAACTCAGCTTGCTGGGGTACAGCCCTCCAGAGGCCTTTCTGCCCATGAAAGACTCCAGAAGCACAGTGCCTTTTGCCTGGTGCAGCTGTTAGTGCACTGAATGCAATTCCATCTGCTTTCTGGACCCTTGTGCATGGGAGCTGAGCAACCTGTCCAGAGCAGGGCTGGGGATTGAGCCTGGTTTATCTCATTTCTCCTTGTCCCACCTTCCAGCTCAGCAGTAGCATCTCACAACACCCTCCCCACCAGCACTCACATGTGAGACAGATTGGTGAGTTTCTGGAACATGCGATTCTGGATGTTGGGGATCTCCAAACCTTCAATGCTCCTGTAAAATAAATGCAACAGAATAGATGACCTCCCCTTGCCCAGTCAAAAGGCATGGGGCTGCAGAGGGCAGAGAGCTTTAGAGCAGGCAGAGATGCTCAGTGCCCTGGCTGCCATACACACTTACAGAGAACGCAGATGGGGCAGGCTGTCAAACTGGTCAGCAAAGATCTGCTTCAGCGGGTTGTAGGAAATATTCCTGCAAAAAACAGAGTTCATAGAGTCTTTTTCTTTCCAGACACCTTCACAACACTGGAAAGCAGAGACATCCCCATAGGTAAAACTACTCCAGTCCTTCCCTGGACTCTCAAATTCTTGCTGTTCCTTGGGAGCTGGATACTACACTACTTAATAAGATATGTACTGACTGCTCTGGAGACAAGATGATCACCCTGTAGTGGTATGGAAGTGAAAGATTAGAATTTGTCCTGTATAATGGATAGTGCTGGAACTGGGAGAGGAACCTTGGGGAACAGGAAAAGCAGAAGATGCCATTTTGTGATAGTTCTCCATGACCGCTAATGAGAAAGAAACCAAGAAATGAAACCTTTTAATGGCTTATGTTTTCTCATGAATCTTAAAGAACAGCCCATCAATATGCCTCGGTGCTACTTAGCGGGACCAGATAGAAGCTGAGAGAATCACACTTCCACTGCTCCTTTACTGAAGTTATACTAGAATGGGGCCAAGCAGTGTCATGGACCTAGGCCACTATTTCCTTTCCATTAACCAACAGTTGGCCAACTGCATTGACTTGCAGGTGCTGATTATCTGATGGATATGAACTGGTGACTGGGAGGCCACTGTTCTCAAGAGCCACAACTTCTTCATGAATAGTTGGCTGCCTAGGATGATTTCCTAGGTCCCTTCTCCCTAAAAACCCTTTAAAACACCACCACAACGCCAGTTAAGGCCTGTGGAGTTTGAATACGCCACTCACAGCTGCTGGAGGTCATGGAGGCCAGTGAATAAAGATGGCAGGAGCTCCTCTAGTCTGTTGGAAGATAGGTCACTATGCAAACAGGAACAAGAAGGCAAATTAATACAGTCAAGGCTATGAGCTCTCCTCCAACCTGCACTATGACAAACTCCCAGCGCTCACTGTACCAGTGCCAGGCAGAAGAGGCTACCTTAGGGATGAAACCATGGAGACTTACAGCTCCACGAGTCCATTCAGCTTGGAAAAGGTCCCTTCCTGGATCCATCTGATCTTGTTCCTGCGCAGTATTCTGGAGGAGGTGAGAAAATCAATGGTGAAAACCAGGCTTTTAGGTGACTTGTTGACCTCAGAACTGGCCATAGTGTGAGGGAGAGACTAAGGCTGTAAAGACGTTCTGCAAATCCCAGAGAGGAAGGAGATAAAAGGCACAGTTAGCCATGTCACCCAAGACAGGCAACACAGCACAGCACAGCACAGCACAGCAGGCAAAGATAGCTGAGCTCTAAGATGTGCTGTTACCAAAACTTACTGTACCTGACAACAGTGGTGCTGATGTCTCAGGGACCCTCCCCACACTCCAGAGCCATGTGACAGCACAGCGCCCCTCAGAGACTAATTTAAACTGCAAATTAGTTTAGTTAATAAATTGGTTATACGGAGTTCTGAATTGTTTGCTAGGCTAATGTTATTTGTTTATTGCTTTTTGGCAAGGAACAAACGATGTGGGAAATGTACATTTAAGAGACCCTGGCATCAATCAGTGTAGCTGACTGTTAGCCCCTTCTGAGGCTCATATGCAGTCCTGGTGTGCTAGGACACAGAGGCTGAATGAAGCAAACTGTTGTCAGGAGCCCTGATTCCAAGCAATCACCTAAAACAAAGCTCATCTCCCCCAGGCGGTGGGGCGCTGAGTACTTTGGGACACTGAGTAGTGCTTGAGGCTCCACACTGCATGAGGTTTACTCATGGCTGTTGCATCTGTACACTTATTGTCTAGGGCAGATATCCTTCATCCCAGGCTCTGACTGCCCTCATTTGTCCTCCTGTCTCACAGGGAAGGGATAGGGATGCCTCCGTGGGAAGGATGTCAAGAATGGCCAAATGTTTGATCTAGGACTGGATGGTCCATTCTGACCTCTAGTTATCCAACCCTGTGCATCTCCAGACCTCAGTCAAGCTGAGCGAGACTCAGAGAGGTGAGACAGGGGTGAGGGGAAAGTGCATCTGAATGGGAGAGGTCGAGGGCTGTTCCCACACCATCCTGCTTACAAGCCTCATCTTGTCTGCTTCATCTCCTCATAAACCTGTCATTGGTGCTGATGCCACTGGCAGGGCATGTTTACATCTCCCCTCTCACCCCTACTTATGTTTCCATGATGCTGCTATAACAGTCCTTGGAAACACATTCCTGATCAAAGACAGGAGCACTCAGCTGCCTGGCTTGAAGCAATGTGCTGTGGGGAGGCAGCCATTCCCTCTCCTCCCTTCGGTGGCGGACAGGGCAGGGAAAACTCTTGCTAGGGGAAAAAGTGAGGCTCAGGCATCTTGAGATATGCTGCCTGGTGGCCTCCCCTTGTGAGCAGTACAGGTTGTGCTAGGGGCCTGCACCAAGCCTTCCTTGGCCAAAAATACACAGTCGGTCCTTTCAAAGCACTTGCACTCTTGAGAAGGTTACAGTGGGGTTTGAGATGCTTCCCCAGAAAACATTGCAGAATCCCAATAGGATTTTCATTCTGCCAGCTGCCTGCAGGTGAACAGGAGGCTCCACACATCCCTAGCAATGACTCCTAACTGGTTCCTCTCTCACAGGCACCCAGGGAGCAGCAAATGTTGGCAATCCCCACAGAAGGACTAGAGAGGGGGCAGAATCCAAGGAAAGATGAAGCTGCATGCCAGAGATAGGCCTCACAAATTGAAGGAAGTTCTGGAAGGCCGCTGGGGAGACCATATGACTGCCTGCTTTGGGGCCTCACCCTGTGCATTCACTACAAAGCTGACTCAGGTCCACTGACGCTGTGGAGCTGAAGCCCTGCACAATACTGGAAGCAGCAGGAGCTCTCAGGATCCAAATCCAGGCATGGATCTCAGAAGGAACAGGAATTCCTGGAACTGGTCCTAGCACAAAGCTCAGAGCAGAAGGCAAGTAATCCACACAGGCTAGGAACAGACATTCAAAAAGCCTGAACCTGAATTGATTCAATCTTTGCAGGTTAGTCTAACCTGCAAATCTTGAACTGATTTGGAGGTGGATAGACATTTCTTTTTCATTCTAGAAGCCAGGTGGCGCTAGAGCAGCCTTCCCTGCCCTTCCATAGGACTGAGCTGAGGGGGTTGTGGCCAGACCTGGGCAGGATGCGCTGATTAGCCCAGTAGGGAATTGATAACAGTGTTTATCATCCTTAACTCAGTGTTTATCACCCCATTAACAAAACAACAGAGGGACATTATCAGCTACCTATTGATTCTGCCTTTGTCACGGCACGGATGGTAGCCAGCATGTGGTCTGCTAGCTAATAGAGAGCTAGCTCCCAGCAAGGCAGAGGGGAGGGGAAAATTCCTGCTTAGCAGGGAGTGGTGGTGGTGGGTGGGAACAGCTTGCAAGTCTCTGCCAGAGCTCCAGCTAGGGAGTAGAGGGGAGGGGCCAGCCCTGCTGTGGAGAAGAGAGCCCCACCCACCTTAAGAGCATGCCCGGATGCTGGGAGAGTCTGGTTTAACTTAACTGGTTGCATAAACCGGTTTGACCCAAATCAGTTAAGTATGATACTACATTCAACCAGGTTCATCTCAAACTGATTTCAGCCATTTTTTTCAAACTGGTTTATGTGCACTGAACATCTGTTCTGTTGCAGGTTTAAACCAGTTCTTGATCACTTAAACTGGTTTATGTGTAATGTCTGCCCCTAGCCACAGAGTCCAAACCTATGCAGCTCCACTCCCTTCACAGCACCATTACTGTATTATCCAAGACCAAGTGGCCACACCCACATTTGCATATGCTGAGGTCACTCTGGAAAACATTAGTTACTGCAGTGAAAAATAGAATAATAATGGTATTTACAACTCCACTCTCCCCACCGTGGTGCTTGGTCACTCCACCAGCATGCTGCACTTGGGTGTGCAGTTACTTGGCTGAGCGGCTTAGATGACCATCTGTGCATAGGCTCAGACATTTCTAAACCCAGGACCAGTATATTCCAAGATTAATATTAGGCACTGAGGTAAAAAGATCTTCAGACTTGCTTTTGCAGCTCCCAGGGACTGTGGTAGTATTTGAAAGCCATGCACCCTTCTGAAAGGCAACACAGGCCCAGTTTGATGAGCAGGGATCTGGGGTTTTTGTTTCCCACAGAAAAATGGAGTAAACTACAGATTTTACCTTTTAACAGAGGCAAATGCGGATTTCTTGTTTTACAAGAGAAACCCATGGATTTTGCCATTTTTCAATGACCTCCCTGCAGGCTGGCCGAGTTCCAGAGCTGCAACGTGTGGCTGCAGGGCCCCAGCGGGGATCAGGATGGGGCCGCGGGTGGCTCAGCTGGGGAGGAGGAGGGCCAGCTTCCTGCTGCCGCACACACTTCTGCAGGGCAAGGAGGACCTGCACCCCCCAGATCTGTACCCTGGGCAGGCTCAGGCTACGGGCTTGGGATCCTGCCCTGCTTCCCTCCCCTGGGGCCTCTGGAGTTCAGTGGGCATGACCTGGCGTGGCTGGGGACAGCGACGTCGCACAAGGATCTCCTTGCTGCTGCTCACTGCCCCCCCCACCCTGGCGACATGCCTACTGTGCCTGCCGCTGCTTGAAGGGGTGCAGCCCTGCACCGCTGCCCTCACTGCAGCCCCACGTGCAGGAGGTGTGTCGCTGGGGTGGGGGGTCAAGCAGCAGCAAGGAGATCCCTGCATGGCCCCACTGTCCCCAGCCGCACCAGGTCATGCTCGCCAGGCTCTGGAGGCCGTGGGGGCAGAAGCAGGGTGGGAGCTCGAGCCCGCAGCCTGTGCCAGCCCTGTGTACAGATCTGGGGGGCGTGGATACCCCCTCTCCCCCTGGGAGTGTGCGTGGTGTTGGGGAGCCCGCCCACACAAGCCCGCAGCAGGGGGGAGCAGTGGCAGGGTGCTGTGGACCCAGGTCCATAGCCTTGGCAGCTGGGGGCCCCCTCTGGCAGGGCTGGGGGAGCAGAGGGTGAGGGGTACCAGCAAGGCTCTGGGGGCTGTGGGTGGGGAGTGAGGGGCACTGGGGGAGGAGGGGGCTTTAATTTAATTTTAATAATGGATTTGGGGGGTTTTAGCAGAGAATTTGGTATTTTTTATCAGGGAAAACCAGGATCCCTGCTGATGAGTTTCATGAACTTTCCTGTGCTTACCAGATATGTTTACCTAATGGGCCTTCACCATTGCTAATGCCCACTGTTCTGTGGATTCATTATTTAAGCATCTTAATTCCTTTTGAAGTGAGTCTCTGGCTGGTCAAGGTGAAAGTAATGCCTTCCTAATTTGTGGGGATTAGCTCATTATTAACATGGAATCACTATGACTGTGCAGGGGGAGCACTTCCTATGGAGACCAGAGAGGATCTGGCCACAGCTAAGAAGTGGCTACTGTTTAGAGAAGCCCTGGATTTGCTTGCTGTTGCTGCCCTGACAGCTTTGGGAAAGAATCCAGCAACACATTCCCAGTGCATTGGGTAATAGTCACCCCTTGCACTTTGGGACAGACTTGAACACACATTCCGTTCTTCCTCTCATGCTGCTGTCCCATGGATGATTTGTAGCTTGTGTATCTGAGCAGCATACACATGACAAGTTTATTATCCATATCTCACAGGGCTGCAGCAGCTCAGCTATGTGGGAAGTATACAACCATCACATTCAGGAAAACTAGACTGGAGAACACAACTGCACATTTTCCAGGGGAATTTCTTGGCTTTGTCAGCTCCTGGAACGCACCCATGCTATGGCTGGAAGCTGAACATGAGCCCTGTGGGCCAGATGTGAAGTGGAGCAAAAATAGGCTTTAAGGATGAGCTGAATAAACAGAGCTGGCTGGCGTTTAACAGGCTGAGAGCTGGCGAGACAAGCTTTATAACATTCTTATTTAAATATATAGAGGAGATTTCAGGGGGTCTGGAGTGGCAGTGAGTCTGCTCATTCATGTGATCCTATGGCATGGGTAACAATAAGAAAAGCTTTCTCCACATACTTTCCCCTGCTGTCCTGCCTCAGCCTTGCACCCAGGGGCTAAGGACAGAAGTTACACATCAACCGGTTTAAGTGATCAGAAACTGGTTTAAACCTGTAACAGAACATAAGTTCAGTGCACATAAACCAGTTTCAAAATAGCTGAAACTGGTTTAAGATAGACCTGGTTGAATGTAGTATCAGACTTAACTGATTTAGGTCACAACAGTTTATGAAACTTCTGTCCCAGACCCCTTCCTGGTTCAAATTAAATCAGAGTCCCCCAGCATCCCAGCATGCTTTGCATCCCTGGGCTGGGTTGGGCTGTGCTATCTGTTCCAGAGAGCAGGGTTGGCCCTGCCCCTCTACTCCCTAGCTGGAGCAGTGTGGGCAGGCTCACTGGCTTCACTGGCTGGCTCACTGGCCCCCACAGGCAAATCTCAGCTGGGGTCTGGGGCCAGTGAGTGGGGATTAAACTCACCTTCCCCTGAGTACAGTGCTGCCCTGCCCTGCTGGCTGGCTTACTTAGTGTGACTGTGGACCACAAATCCCAGAGGCACCTGGAAGCAGGAAGAGAAAGTGACGAGCAACCCTGGACAGTCCTGCTGCTCTGATTTTGGACTGGAAATCCCAGAGGCCTTGGGGGCAGCAGGAAGAGTTAAGTGAACACACAGCTCAGGCTGTGTTTATAGTTCTTCAGTTTATAGTTTTTCAGAGAAAGAACTATTCTTGTTCAAGCTTTTCTGAATTCAGTGCCACTACCTTCCTCCTCCCGCCCTCTCCCCTGGCTCAGGCAGAGCGTGGGCTAGGGCCTGGCCACACCCCCTCCACTCCAGCAGGGAGTGGGGAAAAGTCTTGGAGGGTTTCTGTCTTCTCTCCCCTTTGGCAGTGTCTGGCAGGCATGCTCCCTGGCTCCTTTCTTGAGCCACTATAGGTATGTAGCTACATTTCCTGAATCAAAAGTGGGTACCTGTTCATTTGCTTATTGGTTCAATCTCTGCAGTTTGGACTACCCTGCAGAGTCTGAAGCAATTCAGCCTCAGGCTTTTTGAGTAGCTGTACTTGGAGCTACAGGTAGTGCATTATCCTTTCAGGAGGTATCTTGTCTGCTGACAAGAGCCACTCGGTGGTAGTAAGCGTGTGGTGGATGGGTACAGTAGTCAGACCCTGAAATGAAACCAGCCTGCCTTATAGCTGTCAATAGATAGCTGTCAAGTGGCAATAACTCCTACTCATGACTGACCCAAGCTGATATCAAACCAGTGAACCAGCAGTGAAAGGCTCTGGGAGCCCATCAGGAAGTCCAAGATGCACTTCCACAATAGGTGTTTAAATTACTACTAAACTGTCTCTTCCATTAGTGCCATTTATACATATAGATGGTGTTCCTTGAAACGCACTTGAGATGTGGGGGACAGAGGGGTATAGCTCTCCTGAGGCCACCGGGTCTGCATTGATTTCTACCCGCTGAAGGTCCAGCCCTAGGTCTTTGGTGTTGTGCTTCAACCAGTTTCTACAGGTTGCAGCATCCCCTGTATTGAGTGGGCATGTGTGATTCAACTTACACTTCTGAATCTTACCTGTGTGCAGGAAGTGGTTGTCCCTAGAGCTCAGCTAGTTCCAAGCCCCCACCCTGGCCTAGTGTGAGGCAAGGAGACAAGTTGTACTCACAGCACAGTGAAGGTGCCACACTCCTGGAACACCGAGCTCCTCAATGCACGGATCTTGTTCCCTTCCAGCTCCCTAGGAGAGAGAATTCATGGGCTCTCCTTGGGTGTCACTTGTTCACACTATTCAGCCCCTTCTGAACAATTAAAATATGGTGTTCTGCCTGGACAGAGGGCCATGAGACCACCAATGAGATGCCATCCATATGGCAGCATGGGTGAGAACTGAACCCATTCCCTCTCCCATCCTGTTGCTCAAACCCTTATTTGTCCATCATCTGCTCCAGCATCCTCTTCTTTGGGCTCCTCATCCTTCCCCTCTAGTTCATCTATATCACTTCAAGCTAAGATCACCCTCTTTTCTGACTGCTCCAACTGTGCTCATCACCTTCCCTGCACACTGCTAGGAACCCTCTCCCATAGCATCCACATGGACTTTCAGTCCTACTCTTTTGCCCTTGCTTATGAGAGTTCAGCCAGCAGGCAGAGTGAAAGGACTGGGGCAAGATGCCTAAACTACCCCAAAGGCAGCTTTTACTATATCTGCTAACAGACTTTTGTCCCAGCAGGGTACTCACAGCCAGCTGAGCTTGGGTGTTTCTGCACAAATAGAAGCATTAGGCAGTTTCGTCAGTGAGTTGTTCAGCATATACCTAATTAGGAAGCACAACAGAAAAAAAGCCACCATCAGTGTGTGGTATTGTGTACTACATCCACAGCAGAACTGGAAGTGTATTCATGGTACAGTCACTATATTTCAAAGCCTGAGATACAGTCACTTGTCTGAGTAGTTTCTCTGTCTCTGGTACATCTATACTGCAGTCCCTGTAGTGGTGGTTATATTGATTAATTTTCTTTAAGGTGCTACCACAACTAACCACATCATTTACAGATGAAGTCGATGGACCAGAGCCTCAGCTACAGCTTGACCCACAAACAGTGCAAGTCATGCATGCATGCTTTGAGGAGATGACACCCATGGAAATAGCAGCAGGTGAACCTTAATTATACCCTGTATCATATTGTATACACAAGAGGACTGCTGCATCGTAACATATACATAAGACTGAATTCATCCTGGCATTTCCTAACTTTTGAGTGTTGATTTTGCAGACACTGGTCTTTGTCAGAGTGTTTTGTTTGCTGTTTCCTAGTTTGTTTGCTTGTTTTAAAGCCAACTGTAAAAGCAGAAATGTCACTATAAGGAACCACACTGATGCCATCAGTAAAGTAGGATAACTTAGATCAGTGGTTCTCAACCATTTCAGACACACTCTGTCCCTTCCTCCCACATTGCTTTCTCTGCATCTCTCCCCCTCCCTCATTGCACGAATGGGCGCACACCCCCCCTCCCGCTCCTGGCCTTGGGGGACCGGGATGGGCCTCATGCTCCCACAGTCCAGCAATGTAGCTGGGAGCCATGCGATGCTGGAGAGGCCAGTGGGCAGGAAAGTGGGGAAATGGCAGCTACAGGTGGTGGGGAGTTGGCAGTGAGCAGACATGTGGGAGCACAGGGCCTATATCGGTGCCCAGGGGCCAGAGCCGGCGGGGCCCAGAGCGGGGCAGCAGGAGCACAGGGCTAGGCCAGCAGGTGCTCTATGGAGCTGAGTCGGCTCCCCCCTCTCCCTGCTGGCGCAGCCCAGCCCAGCTCCACAGACCCCTGCTGGCCTGGGCCATGCGTTCCTGCTGCCCTGCTCTGGGCCCTGCTGATGCTGGCCCTGGGACACCGGCATGGGCCCTGCACTCCTGCCCAGCTGTAGCTGTGCTCCCGCATGCCCGCTCGCTGCGACTTCCCTCTGCCTGCCACCTCTTTCCCCACTTTACTGCCTGCTGCTGCTGCATTCCAGCACCACATGGTTCCCAGCTGCATGGCCACAACCGCAGGACTCAGCAGGAGCTGGCCCAGCCCCGAGCACTGGGGCAATCTCCCACGGTCCTCCCCCCGGCCCCCAATCTCTTATCTGAATTTCCCTCTCTGGCAGAGGGAGGCAGGAACAGCTTCACAGCCCCAGTCCAGAAGCTTCTGGTAGGCAGAGGTTTCTAGCTGGGGGGGCGGCAGTTGTGAGGGGTGTCTGGGGGTAGGGTGAGGCCCGGTGGCCCTTGCTGCTGGGCTGCTGGGTCCTGCCACCAGCTCCCCCTGGGTCCTACTGCCCCTGGCTCCTGTCATCTTTGACAGGCAGCCAGGAGCAGATAAATATTAATTTTCCAAATTTTTAGGGGCCCTGTGAGCCGGATAGAATGGCCTAGCAGACTGGATCTTCCCTGTGGGCAGGGTACCTGCCCCTGCATTAGAGGGAGATGGGGAACTCTGCTGGGGTGCTTCACAGATACCTTCTGAGAGCAGGAAAATGTTGGGATTCAGGGAACTTGTGTTCCCTGCAAGCTTGTATAGGGAACTTTACTGTGGGATTCACAGTCCCTCCTTTCATTGGTCCCTGTAGCCTGTCCTGGTTGAATCTGTCTCTCGTCTCCCTCCCAAGCAACTCATTCAGCCCTAGTCTCACCCTTCAAGTTCCCTATCCAAGTCTCTCAATTTCCACTGACAACCTTTCTTCTGGTTGCCCCCAACAAGCTCCTTGTCCCTGTATCCTTGTCCCATCAGTCCCAGATGCACTCTAGGCTCCTCATCTCATCAGTTTTTGTGCAGTCCTAATCCCAATCCCCATCTCCCACTCACCCAGCCTTAATTTCCCCCACCAGTCCCTCCTTTGCACCAAGGTCTTTTCAGAACCTTTTTCCTCTGTACCGCATCTCTCCCACATCTAGCTATTGTCCCTCTGAGCTGGATTCGCACAACTGCCCTCTGCTTGCTACCTGGCCATCTGCATTGAGAGCTCAGCCCTTGCAGCCTGGTGCCAGAGTATGCTTAGTGCCAGAGCCATAACTATCAGAGTCTGCACTCTGGGTGGCAGCAGTAGTGGCTGGGTTGGCAAAGGTGGCAGCTACTATTCTTGCACTCCCTTCTAAGTGGGTGCCCAGGGCTGGTCCTCTGGTTATGCTACATACTTCTCTGTGCAGACAGAATCTCTACAATGCAGCTGCCAAACTCAAGTAACTGTTTCCTGAGCACATGCAAGCCAAAATTT